TGTCGTTCCTGAAGAAGAATTGATAATGGATCCTGCGCACTTGCGGCTAAAGTTTGCAAGAATCCATAAAACCAATGCAAACATTTTTGTTGAAACTTGCGGTAGAAAAGGAACGAGTAAACACGTCCTGGCAATAGACCGGAATATCGACGATTGAATTTTATTAAACGTCGGGCCAATCCTGCTGCTACAAGAAAACGGGAAGCCCCTTTGGCTATCGCAATTGAAGATAGCACATACAGTACTATGAAAAGATTTATTTCTCTTGGTAGATGCTTGTATGTAATACACTAGTTTGTGGATATGTACCTATCGATTCTGCTGGATCTTTTGGGTGGAGGTTCAAGAAGAAAACCGCAATGCATCAATGTGTTAAGCGTTGGTATTTTTCACATTTTTTTATAAGTCCGAATTCTTTGAGACGTTTAATTTTATTCCGGGTAATATTTCCGTTGAATTAAAAGAACCTTTCTGGGGTACGTGATCGATAAGAGTTATTTCTTCAGAGGAAATTTAAATTTTTATCACTTCAAGTTTACTATGATAATTTTTTATCAACTTTCAGAAGATTCTCTTTGAAAAAATATTTAATTTACTTAATTGATACAAATTGACAAATTGTATTTTTTAATGAAAGAAATTATTTATTTATTTTAGAGAAAAATAATTTCAGTAATAAAGAAAGTCTTGCTAATAACTGAGCAATTTAATGATTCATCAATTAACAGGTCCAGGGAAAGTAAGAATTAAATCACTTTCGATCAATTACACTTTTCAAATGTTTTTTAAAAATTAAATTACCTATTTTTTTAAATAGTATTTCGTTGAAGATAATTGTTATAAGTAGAAAATATCTATTATCTATCAGCCTTTTTTTATTCTTAAATTCTAAAATTATCTCAGAATTTAAAAATAAATTTATGTAAATTACCAGCCTATTGCAAATTATTCTTATTTATGTAAATATATTTTTTTTAAATACTCAGGTTGAAGAGAAAAAAAAAAGCAAACATGAAGTTGATTAAAAATAGAATAGACATTTGTTCCAACAAGTGTCAGAAAGTACGTGGAAAAAATAATTAACAAATGAACTAATCAATCGTATTAGGCAGTCAACACAGCATAATTATACAGTTGACCTACCTTTCATTAAACACCAACGTGAGTGACTGTCTTGCAAAACCGAGGAGAATTCCACGAGTTGGAGGCTTTCATTGCGTGACATTAAATTAGGCTAAATCTATATATAGTCATAGAGTTTGCTTTCCTTCGTTACGCTTCAATTGATTGCTTTACTATGGTGTAAATTCTCCAGTTTCATATGAGAACTGAGGTAAGACCTTGAGTAACAATCTAGCGCAAGGCTCATAGACACACGCGTTGATTAATATTCCGTCAAAATATGCTGCATCTAATCACTTACTCACCGCAAGTTACAAATATCATAAACGAGGGATGAAAATTTATAGCTGGAGTCAGACTTGAGCATAAAGAAGATCCGGATAGATTTGAAAAATCATCTTAGAAGTGAAGTTAACATAGAGAAGACGAGCCGACAGAATCACAGATGAGGATGACGTAACCGCAAGCGTTCATCAGACCTAATGGCATAGTATACAGACCACAAAACTAAATGAAACTCGTTTCACGACGGTTACCGGCATGGAATTGGAAGAGCCTCGCCTGCTACATGCCAACTCCAAGGGAAATGTGATGCTGCCAAGTAAGATACCATAGCAGTCTCTACATCAAAGGAACTTATATAAAGTGCACGAAGGGAGTGAAATCTTTCAAAAAGGAAGAGGTACATCAGATACAATTGGAAGGATTTATTTTTCTAAATCAAACATATCACCGTGGATGAATGTAGGTCTAGCAGATATTGATGGAGCTGGTAGGTATGAACTAATTTGTGATGATATCTTCAGGTTCTATGTGTGACTAGAAAGTGTATTGAAACAAAATATTATAATTCTAAGCATACACATTTTTCGTCGCTTCTATGTAGATATATCATCTTCTAGCTCTCATAAAATATATTACCTGTTTCGCAACTTCTTTTGCAACTTGCTACTTAATAGTTCAATTTATAGCCTAAGAATTTTATCATGAGCAACTGTTAGTTGATTTAACATTCATTTCTTAGCCTGTCTTTCACTCAATTCTCATAAGAAAAATAAAGAATCATAATGAATGATTTTTATGTAACAAACTGCTATCAATTATTTATTTGTATTCAATTAAAATTTTTACTACCGACAGCTTTGGTGAATAAATGAATGTTCTTTTGTGAAAATATATGTCATGGAATGATAATGGATTTTCAGTAATTGTGCATAATAAATCTTTATTTGCAATAATTGAAAAAATAATTACCAACAATTAAATCTCCATACTTTTAAATGAAGTTTGATGATCAATGTATTCTTCAACTTGTTCCACGTTTATATTGCTGTTGCATAATATATACTGCTTGCAATGGCTACAAATAATGACTGGTATCGCGACAAAATACCCACCCCCGTCATCATAAAAGAGACAACGGTATGTGTAAGATCCTGGTTAAATTTCTTGCCATAACACTTGTTAAATTTATGAACCTGCTGTTCTCTTTTTTATTAGTCGTAAATTATTTGATGCAATTTATTGCGTAAAATAAAACATGATTATTTAAATATCAAAGAATTTGTTAAAATGACATAAGGTGATGTCAAAAATTTCCTTGACCGAATAAATTGAGCTTGACATTGTGCTATTGTAGAAGTTGCCTTTGTCGGTGACAGTCAAAACACCTTGGTTACATGTTTCAGTGCTAGTTTTACAGCCTTGCAGTTGCTCGGTCGAGCAATTTGTTTTCTTTCCACTGAGATAGTAAAGTCAACGCTAGTTAACGATGCATCAACGTGGGTAGAAGAGAAGGCGCCACGATTCTAATCACCACTGGCTTCGATCACTTCAAGACAGATTCAGCTCGTTAATTATTAACGAAGCTTCTGCTTTCCTATCACTAGTCCTGATCAGCTGAACTACTGGATGAAACATTCAACTCCATAAATCCAATTCGCAACTAGTCAACTTAATGATCAAAATGTTGAAAAGTTTCATAACAAGTTGTGAAATCATTTTTAGTGGGTTTATATTTTATCCACCAAACTGTCTGTACTTGACGCATAAATAGTGAGATTGTCAGAATAAAAATTTCTTCTTCCAACTTGGTGTCGAAATTTCATTTAAATAGTTATATTTATTGCATTAATCAATATTTATAAAACAGAAAGGTGGAGATAATTAATTTCTTTAGTTAAATAAATTAATAAAAATGCTAAACTAAAATGACCTTAATTTTATCAACAGTAATTTATTTATTAATCAACTCCAGTGAGCATTATTAGTTGATTAATGAACTTAACATCATTGAAAAGAGTTGCATAAAGAATAAATTATTCAACACCTGTTGAAAAATAGAGTTTTGACTATTTAGATTTTTCAAGGTCCTCTTTTGTGGATCTCCTAGACAATGGATGACAAACAGATGTCCACCCACAAAGATGTGAAATTGTTCCATACCTACATGAAAGTCTAGATAGTCTCTTTGTATGCAGAAATTCAAAACTATTGTATGCAATTTCATGTCCGACCTCTCATGCCATCATATAGAGTGTGATGAGCCAGATGGTGCTGGGTTTATATTTGATAGATAAAATATTAAATTGAAACTCATAGCAGAGTTTATTGAACAGCACAGGTGATGTTACATAATTGATACTCTTCAATTCAATTAATTCAACAGCCAATTAAATTTTAATTCGTTCTTAATGAATATTTAATGTTATAAAATAGTTGCATCTGTATGCCTACAAGTCATATTGAATTTCATTGGATTAAATCATCACTCGTTGTAGCTAGGGAAAATAATAAAAATTCAATTACATTCATCAGGACCATCAGGAAATTCAATATCATGCAAAGCAGAACCACAATGTAAATTTAACAAGCTCTGTTTTATATTATACTACTTCGCATCGTCAATATTTATAATTCGTGACTAGAAGGTACACATGGAATGTGTGTCTATAATTTCATGAAATCTGATCCTTCCTCGACATGGTACAGATGGTTAGTTTGAGACAAAGACCATGTAATATTATTAAGTATAATATCTATCATCAGTAAAGAATGTATAAATGAGAATTCGTACTCCAATCCCTCATTGTGTCAATTCGTCACGAATGTCACTGCTTTCAACATCACTTTCCCTTCTCTACCTCCTAGCAAACAAGACGACAAACCGTCAAATCGATATCAAGCTCCCCAATCTTCAAATAACTAATCCAACACATCAGCTAGCACACTCTCACCAAATGTAAACCTTTCCATCACATTTCCTGCTTCTCAACAAGATACATCAAGCCATGGATTTCTGTAGAAATTGTATTTTTATTCAAGTTGGAATATTGTTGTTTGTTAGAAAGGTGTTAAAAAGTCTGGCAATATAGTCAGAAACTCATGCATAGGAATTTACAATCCTCAATGATTCCTTTCGAAATTCGAGAATCAACCTCGAGGTCAAGGTCCTTATGTAGTTGATCAGAATGCAGCACACGTGTGCTTTTTCCATGAGACCAATGGACGAGGGTCCATGGAGAAATGTGAGTCATACTCTGAGGTTAAACTGTTCACTTAATTTAGGGTTATTTATTAAGCTTTGTAATGCATTTAACGTTTTTAATTTAAAAAAAAAAAGCGTTAAGTTTACCTCAAACACGTGCTAGTTTTTTGGCTATTGACACTGGTGATTAAATTATTGGTATCACTTGATAAAAAAATGCAGTAAAAATGATAAAATGATTTCTAATCTAAAAGTTCAATATAATTTTTAATATGACATAAACCTACATATCTATGAAAATATATTTCTTTCTAGGCGAACTATAAAAGCATCATTCAACCTCGGAAACAATTTATTTGAAAAGTATTTAACTTGAAATTCGTTAATTTTCTCTTCTCAATAAAATGAAGAGTTTTATTTTATTTTTATCAATTTGTTTAAAAGTGTGCTTGTGTTGGCATTTCTCACGACAAGATAACGAATTTAACTATGACGTAAGTATCACAAAAAATCCCTGGGTGGTTATGATTGTGCGGAATGGACAAGACGGTAAGTAAAAGAATCCATTTTTTGTAATTAATTAATAGTAAATAATTAAATACCATTAAAGGGTGTTTTGAATTTTTTAGTCGTGTCATATGGAACTCTTTTTCATGAAAGAGCTGTCGCAACAACTGCAGCAATGAATGAGTAATAAATAATAATTTGTTTATAAAAAAAAAATTTAATCATACAATTATTGGAATGAAAATAATACTTTTTTAGAAATGATATTTTTCAACTGCAAGTTTTTGCTGATTGTCATTCTTTAGGTGATCAACAAGAGATTGATCATAGAATTTGTAAACATGTTAGAAACATCATTGAGTATCATGTTTTAGAAGAATATGTATCGGTTTCGAGTTTCTTAAACCTAGATGTTTTAATACTTTCAAGTCCATTCGAACTAACTCCAACTCTTAATGTTGTACATTTTGGTAATTCTATGACGGTGCAATTAAACAAGTGTACTATTCAGTATCCAACATTGGTGACCAATCCAACAACTAACGAAACTGGTGAATATAAAAAATTATAACAGTTTTTTACTTCCAATCATTTTTAAATAATTCAATTTGTCAATATTTACAAAAAAACTGTACATTCTAGGAGCACTGTTTTATCCATCTTATGATATAAACTTTGCGAGAGCACAAATTGTATTAATCAGTAGTTTTTCGGGTTTGAAACTTTGGGAAAGAGTTAAGGTAATGTTAGTTTTATCAATAATTAATATTATTAATGTGATAATTTTATTAAAAAAATGTTTTTATCCAATAGATTTTACCTGGAAATCCTTTACTTTGTAAACCTAAAATTGAAACTGATGAGTGGCATGCTATTGGCATCATAGCCCGAGTTATTGGAAAAAGAAATCGATCTATAAGATTCGTAGAGCCAGCAGCTTTGGATGTATTGTTCGAAATTTTGAAAAATTCTTTTATATCTAGGGGTCAATTGTAATGATGATGATGATGATCATGATTGAAAAATAAATAATTTGAACGTAAAATTTTAAAGGAGAATAACGTCAAGATTTATTTAGACAAATGTGAATTTTAGAAGCTAAACAGTCCAGGTTTTTTGATAGCTGATACCTTTTTCATGATAGAAAAGAAACTAGAACAATTAACTCTTCAAGGATATCATTGACACTCGACTAAGTGGAATAAAAAAACCTGATGCTATTAATTTTTTTATTCAACTTGACCTAAGATTTGAATTCGATCAATCACCTTAGAAGCAGTTGATTGAACTAGCCCATCAAAGTGAATCTTCAGTTCACCGCTGATTTTCTCTGCCTTGTGGGGAAATGGAATTGCCGCATTAGGTAAACATTTTTCTTGAAATAAAATCCTACTCAAAAGAAAGGAAAAAAAAGACACGATGTCGAGCATCAAGAGTATTCTCATTAATTCCTGCGGTGTCTAGGTGAACTCTAAAAGCAGCTTGTAATGCTTCATGACCTCGAACTCGGCTATTAAACGCTTTTATAGTGAGAAAGAGAGATAAAGAAGAATGCAGCCGACAAAGAGCTCTTGTGTGCGACCTTTCCACTAGGTCCACACCAAGTAAACTGAGATGAGGATACTTGGGTGGCAGTTAGTATACGTTGGATCTCATTAAATGGGGTCTAAGAGAGTCGCACCGAGCGTGCGAAAGTGGAGGCGCGTCGTTGGAAGCATATTCCGGGCTACAAGGTCTTTCCGGAAATGGTGCTTTCCATTAGTCCTCCTGCGTGCAGAGTCGCGTGCAAGACGACACGGCGATATATCAAACACACGCGCGACATGTACGTTTTATTGCACCTGGGTACACGCGAAACGGTAAATGCATTCTTGCCTTCACTATTTTATTGTTGATGCCACAGGATTCTCGTCGCATATCCTCTCAGCTATTCACCATTCAACGAAAGCTTTCGATTGTAGATTAAAATACTGAATATTGAAGAAATTATTTATCTGATGAAATCATCAAGATTTTATCACCATTTTTATGCTGAACTTTTTCAATTTATTTGACGTTGCTGATATTTCCTTTATTTAAATTCAAATTCTTTTATCAATAAAATCATTTTTATTCATTCTGTTCAAATAATAAACACATAATATATTTTATTAATCATCAAATATTTTTAATGTAAACTTTTTTAAAGTGTTTTGTAATAAATCATAAAAAATGCTAGAAGTAACGTAGATTGATTTTTTTCAATTAATATTTTTGATTATATAGCGTTGATGACTAATTACAAGCATCATAATGTCGGGGATCTCTTGATAACGTAATTATCGATGTCATTAAAATTATTACAAGTATTTATGATATTGCGGAAAAGCATTAAAACAGAAAGGTAGGCACGAAATATCAGGGAAATCATTTACATTTGATTAAACGATTATTTTAAAAGATTTTTATTTCCTGAATGTCATGAATATTTCTCCCGTTAATCGAATAATCACTCATATCCTAACGTAAGCATTTTCACGTGTTAATACGCCCAATCGGTGTGGTATGTTATGCGATTGATAAATTATACTGCTGCTGTCACAGATATTCTTCCTGTTAATCCTACATTGGGTCAAAGGTGATTTTTTTAAACAAGAAGAGTACACAAGAAATAGCTATCAGTAAATTTTCCAGTATGTCACCTACTGGACCTCGTGGCCTCGTTCACGTCAGCGATATCTCTAGCTAAATCAGGACTTCACGATCTATCAATTAACTTGTTTTTCTGTTAAGTCAATCTACAAACCACCTTTACAGGAAAAAATCTCTATACATTTTGGTTGTAAAAAAATTTTATTTTCTTCTTTTTAATAGAAACTTTACCAAAGTGACTTAGATTTCTATTGATAAATTTATTTCATTCATTGAAAAAAAATAAAAGTGCGGAAAAGTTTGTTGACTAAATAATTTACAACGAAAAAGAATAAAGACTATTTTTATTAAATTTGAAAACTTGTTTTTTCATGTGTTATGTTAATGGCTTTTTCATGTTCACCTCGAACACGAGCTATTTTTGTTTCTATTGATACGAGTAATGAAATCATTGATACCACTTAATGAAAAAATGCAGTAAAAATGATAAAATGATTTCTAATCTAAAAGTTCAATATAATTTTTAATATGACATAAACCTACATATCTATGAAAATATATTTCTTTCTAGGCGAACTATAAAAGCATCATTGAACCTCGGAAACAATTTATTAAAAATTATTTAACTTGAAATTCGTTAATTTTCTCTTAGTAGTGATTATTTTGAATTTTTGCTGTAGGGAATTAAAATGAAGAGTTTTATTTTATTTTTATCAATTTGTTTGAAAGTGTGCTTGTGTTGGCATTTCTCACGACAAGATAACGAATTTAACTATGACGAAAGCATCACAAAAAATCCTTGGTTGGTTATGATTGTGCGGAATGGACAAGACGGTAAGTAAAAGAATCCATTTTTTGTAATTAATTACTAGTAAATAATTAAATACCATTAAAGGGTGTTTTGAATTTTTTAGTCGTGTCTTATGGAACTCTTTTCCATGAAAGAGCTGTCGCAACAACTGCAGCAATGAATGAGTAATAAATCATAATTTGTTTATAAAAAAAATTTAATCATACAATTATTGGAATGAAAATAATACTTTTTCAGAAATAATCTTTTTCAACTGCAAGTTTTTGCTGATTGTCATTCTTTAGGAGATCGACAAGAGATTGATCATAGAATTTGTAAACAATTTAGAAACGTCAGTGAGTATGATGTAATAGGATCATCTCCACCGAAAGTAAATTACTACAACTTTGCTGTCTTGATTCTTTCAAGTCCTTTCGAACTGACTCCAACTCTGAATGTCGTACATTTTGGACATCAGAGCAGTGTTCAATCCGACCATTGTATTGTGTTGTATCCGACGTTGGTGACAAATCCTAATACTAATAAAACTGGCAAGTATGAAAAGTTCTGTCAATTTTTTACCACAAGACATTTTCAAATATATTTATATAAAATTTTGTACTTTCTAGGAGCACTCTTTTATCCAACACTTAATATAAACTGGACTGGAGTTTCAGTTCAATTAGTCAGTAGTTTTGAAGACGTCAAACCTAAAGAAAAAGTCTCGGTAATGTTAAATTTTTCAATACTTAATGTTATAAATGTGATTATTTTACTAACCGAATATTAAAACCAATAGATTGTACCTGGAAGTCCTTTACTTTGTAAATCTAAAACTAAAACTGATGAGTGGTATGCTATAGCCATCGTATCAAAAATTGATCAAGCAAATAAACCATCTATAAATTCAAGAACAATAGCTCTTAGTTTTACTGATAACGAGATTAAAATATTTCTTGAAATTCTGAAAAATTTCCAAGCACCTGGAGATCAGTCTGAAGTAATTTTTTATTATGATTAAAAGCAAAGCATCTTCCAGAATAAAATACAGATAAATTGTCATCGATAAATATTAATGAGTGATACAATTGTAAAAATTAATGCATTAAATTTGAATATGAAAAATCAATTTTACAAGAGAAAAAATATAACAACTGGAAATCTCATTATAAAACTTTTGGTGGAGTAAAGTAATTTAAAACTGCACACATATATTTTTCCTCCATCTGTTCACCACTCTGACACGTAGTCTGTCCACTCAATTAAAATCAAGTTTGAACTTTTAATATTTACATGCTCTTTATGAAGCAAAAAATTGATTGCCTCGTGATATTTTAACACCATTAGTTAAGTGTCACGACTATTAGTTCAGCTCATTGATCACTGGTGAATTCTTATGCACTTCTTCATCGTGTTTATCATCCTTCATCTATCGTTCCTCTCTTGTGTATGCTGAAATAACGGAACTTCTTGCGATGAACTCGTCTTTCAGGTTGGGGCGGATTAGGGTTCTTTTTTCCAACTGGACCTGGGCTTAACCCCAAGATATTAGTTTCCACATGAGCTTCCTCCTTTCTCGGTGGCAACGTACGATAACGCAGCAGATGAAGTATTACAAGATGCGTCTTGGTTATGTAGTGAGAGAAAGAAGCTGCAAGTCTTGTAGCATTAGAAGACGGAATAGAGCGGGTCCATGTGTATTCACTGCAATTTATGTTTAGCGTCAATGCGTCCTCATGTTCACTGGTGAGAGTAACATGGGAGGGACTTGATCGCGCTTTGACCTGGAGCTCGCGGATCTCCATGAAGGAGAATCTGTTGGAGAATCGTTTTGCTTGTATACTAACCCAACTGACCCCGAATGCGAATCATACACGCCCCTGAGATATAAATAGGAACATGCATCATCATCGACGCATCATAACACCACATGAAGAAGAGATCACTTTACTTTTACAATTGTCCAACGTTTCTATCTTCACATAAAATATTATTATAAAACAAATGGGAAATTTATTGTTGATATTATTTATGAATTCAACCATAAACCTATCATTATTGATTTTGATTTATTCCTGCTAATGCGTATAATAAATGACTTTATTAGCATTACTATCGATCGTGGAAATGTATAACGATTTTTTTAGCTCAATTTTATGCATGGGAATTATTGTGATAAAAACATAGAGTCATGATGCAACGCATCAAATCTCTTCCTACTCTTTAATTTATTGGTTTATAAAGGACTGGATGTCTCCATCTTTATCGTTCTATGACTGTGTATCAGGACGAAAAAAATTAAAAGGTCATACAACGGGAGGAGAGCTTAAGCAATATGAACAATACCGATTTAAGATGAAACTCACTTTGAGACTCACTTGATGCTGCTTCAGACAAAGATGTAGTTACTTTCGCGATGCATTGTAACGATCAAGGTATATTTTAAAGTATCGCGAAGAGAAAACGACGATAGGTCGTATATTTATACCTAGATATGTTGTGTAACCATTTCCGACTGTCTTTCTGGATTTGCTATTTTTTGACATGAAACATTTTGTAAGCTTTTTTGCTAAACATACCGATGTTATCTGTTGATTGTGTAAATCTGTTTTGCTGTTGATTTTTTATTCAAATTAAATAACAGGATAGTAACCTGTCCATTGGTATTTTGAGATTTGAGAATCGATCGACAACCGGTCAGAGATAAATAAAATAGGCGAGTCGACAAACGACAAGCGATTATTCCCAACTCGTGTGGAATACATTCAACTCATAGCAATGTACTATTTAGTCAGCCTTCTTTCAACGAGGACAACAATATACCTGCGGCAATTAGCACAGATTTAACCACCGCAGTCACACGCGGCCTCGCTCCTACGACATTCCGATTTTCCTTGGTTCTACCCACGGATCTCAATGATCAACACACTTGCTAACTATCAATTTAAACATTTATCGACTGTAACTAAATATTTCTGAACCATGAACATACTCCATAGTGTTCATTCTTTTCCTGGACCAGTTGGAGAAATATTTTTGCATCAGTTTAGTCAAACAATTTTATTATTATGGTAATCAGGATTTTTTCTTGGTTGATAAAAATTTATCAAGTGTAACTAAACACTTTTATGCTAATAAATCACCTTAGGTGTCAAAAATATTTTTAGAATAAATTTCTTCATTTTATTTCAATGCTAGAAGTTGGCTTATAATTGTAAAGTATTTTTTCTGCTATAGCTAATGTTATTACATTTATAATTTTTTTTCTGCCGACATAAAAGAAATCTAGTCTGTTCCAGGAATAGATTCATTTCAATAGAACTTAGTTACACATATTACTTAACAAGTTGGCGAGAGAGTCCTTCCAACAGAAAAGACAATCATGTAAGATACTTGACAGGCATTTATATGACTCGTCAGTGATCTAGTCTACAAAAAATTCCCATCCATTTGCATATTTCAGAGCTACCACAATAAACATCAAACATCATTTTACTTTCTACTCTTCAGCATGTCCTTCTGTCGTGCAGAAATCATTCAATCTCTAGATTTTTGTCCGAGATTTTTCGATGGATATAACGATCAAGTCACGACACTCGATCACTTGATATCTACTTTTTATAACGATTTCTCATACTTTTTAAATAAAGCTCTTCGTAATGATGCTTTATTAATAAATATAAGTTTTAAAGAAACCATATGTAAATACTGAAGTTATTTTATTATATTATAATGTTTTGATATATGACTAGCGTGAATCCTCAAAGACTTTCTACAAAGTAAATGGATTTTCACTTTAGCGTCATTCTTGAGGTTTTCCTTACGCGGGTGCAGTGTTCTTTATCTCCAACTCCTGCACCTCTGATTCACTTGGACGATAGAGGTAATTGCTTCCTAGAAGGTCGCAAGTTACGCGCCAACGTGTTAAGAAGTTTCTCCACCAAGTATATTATACAGACAATGTCTCAGCATTCTCATCTGTCGCATCATCGGCTCTCACCAATCATCCTGATCACTACAACGTTGCTCATAAACCGCAACACTAGAATTCTTTAGGTCAAAGTTCTTTGGTGTTCGTTAGGAAGGACTAAAAGCATATACGCGGGTGGACAGCCACTTGCAGGATGCAAGTTGAGTGGCTCCATAACTGTAGGATGATTGAGATGACACGCGATTGTCCTCTCTTGAGGTCATGACGATGTTAATCTATGGTCTAGAGTATGTACGGTGAGAATCTCCTCAGGGGGTTGTCATGCAGAGAATGTTATTGATAGTGACATGATTCTCTTGGGAAAGATGATCTTAAGAAACACTGTTGAAAGGTATTTAATCTTGAGAAAATAATTGACTTGGTTTCTCAGTGGGTTTTAAAAACTGCCATATTGACTAGTGAGATTTGTTTTCACTTCAACAATTGCCAATCTTGTTTGCTTTATTCTACTTTAGAGCATAACTTGGAAAAAACATCTCCAACTATTCATGCAACTGGATATTTTTCACTGTGTTCAAAGTTTCCAAAAAAAATTCAAAAAGGTAAATGGAATAAAGTTGGCTCCATAAGAAATGAAATTTACTCTCCAGATAGTTACCATGTCTAAACTGTCTTTAATAAATTAATATTAATTTTTTCCATGTACTGTTATGTTAATTCGTTCAATAAAAAAGCAGAGATGATAAAAAGAACTGATTTGATTACATTTATGATAAAAATCAAATTATCTAATAACTACTTCGATTATATATTAGCGACAGATATTTATTCTGTATGCTTATTTGCCAATTAAACATAAACTTAATATAATTTATTCACATTTATGAATGGATAAAATCAGCTAGTAAATATATATAATTTATTTACATTTCTAGATAACTCTTCTACATGACTATATTTAAAACATTCTGATAAAATAGTCTGATACAATTTTCAACTTGTACAACAAGTTTCAATTGATCAATATAATTATTGAAGCATCAGTAATTTCGCCAACAAATAAAAATCATAACTTTCTTCACAAAGGTTGAAAAAATAAAAATATCAAAGATGAACATACGTCAAATACACATTCAGAATGACTCTAAACGTATTCTGATCTGTATAATGCATGGGATGCACCAGCTCTCGACTCACCTAACAGGACTTTCTAGTTTGCTCGGCAAAAGGACGAATCTCCGCCCACTGTGGGCGATAATGTCTATTTGAACTTCCTCTATTCCTTTGCCTCACAAATCATACCGATGACTCGATTCTCGATCGATCTATTACATATATATATATATTTATTTTCCTCCTTTCTAAATGACGATAATCAACATATTGATGAAGGCGTTTCTCCAGTTAATTTTTCTTCACGACAGATTGATCGTGAGATGAGATCTCGAGTTTAATGTCTTTGCTACATCAGTAGCGGAATTATCTTGACGGAAAGTCATCAAGCACAAAACAAGTAAGTATTACTAAACTGGTGACACGTTGCGTCAAGTATCCTCGCGGCTAATTGAGAAAGTTGATCACCTATATGTCATTTGCCCCTTAGCTATTGACGCATCTTATCTATCAACTATGTAATTCCCGGTTATTGCAGCTTTATTTCAATTCCACTTGAGAATTGCATTTATTTAATAGAGGTATTAGTGTACCTTATCTCTAATCTTTAACCTATTTTGTAATCTATCATAATTACCATACATATGAGTATTACTCATTATGGATTGGTGCATTATTTTTTTGCTCTTATTTCCACATCGTCACCTGACATTAACTTTGTTCTAATTATTCTTCATGTCGTGTGAAATTCTGATCTTTCACATTTGAACTATTTTGATAACGATTTTATTCTCTTTACATAAATTAATTTTTTTATAGAACATCCAGGTTCGTAATTACTTGTCAACAATTTAATTGAAATTAAATGAATTGTTCAAGAGATGGATTTAATTGATAATTATTGTTTTTTAATAGTGTTATGTTTGCTGAGTGTAGTTGAAAGGATTGGTAATTATAGTAAGCCGATAAAAATAAAATGTTACTTAACTCTAAGATTGTATATATTTATCACACATCACATTGCAAACGATACGCTCATACATCGTCGGCTTTTCTGACTCAGCGAAAAGTCATCGTATTTCCTGCGCTCCTTTATGTGGGTTACTACAGCTATGACAGTCATATAGCAG